GTCGCCACAACAAAAATCATAAACGTCCCGTCGTAGACCACAAAACGTACTTGACCGATGCGATTGATTCGCATCGATCTGTATTCCTCGTCGGCACTCGACTCCCCCCTCCTCTCCGCGAAACTCCATCCTCATCTCCGCGTCCTCCGCCTGGATTGGACCTTGGGCAGCGTCTTAAGAGACGTCGGATATGACGGCGGGAAGCGTGCTCACGCAGGTCTCGTTCTTATTTCCTTATAGAGATTGAGAAGCAGGCTGGATTTTCTGGAGTGGGAAAAACTGACATTTGCCAAGCAGATGGAAGCAGCGGTAACACCACGCAAGTAAGGTCCTCGTTCTTGCTTCTGCTGCTCCGTCCTCCTCCTAACCGTCAGCGCGCTCTGCCTCATTCCCCCCGTCCGGTCGTGCGTCCCGGAAAGCAAAGCTCCGGCGCGACTGTCAGCGAGAAAAAAAGCCGCGCAGTAAAAGGTGGGTCGCGTTCGTCGCTTCCGTCGACCGTCTTATGGAATTCGTAGAGCGACCACTCGCGACGTCGATACTCGGTCCAGTGCTTGTTAGGTGTGACCTCTCGCGGGCGTGCCATAAACTCCCGAGCGATTGGCCAATTAATGGTGTGTTGTCGTTGTGAGTCTGCGGCTCTGTCGAGTTTGAGCGCGTCAGTAGTAAGCGACGGGACGTAGCTGACGGTACGAGCGGCACCATTCGTTCGTAGCAAACGTGTTTGCTATATGTGTTCTAATCGTTTTCAGATGCGCCCGACCCAGCCGGACGGATGTGTCTGTTGACGGGCGTAAGCAGTCCGACCGTCGTTGCCTAGTGCGGTTTCAAGCAGGCCAGAGGATTGCAATGGCGCCCTTGTGACGTGGGTACTAAGGTCGAATCGGCTGAGAGAGATTCTTGTCCTTTCTGGCGAGCGTAGCTGGTGCCTGCGTGCGGCGGTGTCGCGCTCGGACGCCTGCCGGCAAAAAAGATTGTTCTGGTGCGTGTGTGTGGACCCGTCGATGCATAGGCGCGCCGTGTGTAGCGGAGAGCGCTGTATTACGGGGTGTGGGTTCGGCTGCGTGCGTGACGTGGTAATCCACTGCTGGCAGGCCTTCATTTGTACGCAGCACCGGATGATTGGCGGAGCGGCGGTGGGGAGGTGGTGATTCTGGTGAGTCTCTGCTAATCTCGCTCCAGTTCGCACCCTAGGGTGGAATTAACGATGTCAGGTGTGAAGCTCAACATTTTCGAAATTACGTATGCTTATTTAAATTCAGTGTGAGAGCTCTATAGGTGATATATATAATTATGTTATATATTAGTATATATATGTGTGTGTGTGTGTGTGGTGTGGTGATGTGTGTGTGTGTGCGTGCGTGTGTTCGTGCGTGCGTGCGTGCGTGCGTGCGTGCGTGCGTAGTGCGCGGTGTGCGTGTGTTGGCGTGCGTGGCCGCGCGTTGGTGTCTGCATGTATTAGGCACGTACAGAGCAACGGTGTGCGTTTTACCGACCAGAAAAGTCACTCTCTACTTGTTACAATCAATGACATTGTCTCTGTGTACCTCCCCGCACCCCAGCTCTGGCTTCCCAGCGTAAACCCCCGTCTCCTCTCCTGGTCGTCTCCTACTCACTCTCCTGGTTTGCCTCCTGCTCCTCTCCTCTCCTCTCCTCTCTCTCCTCTCCTCTCCTCTCGCTCTCTCTCCCTCTCCATCTCCTGCTCCTCATCGGCTGCTCCTGTCCATCTCTCCCACGACATGCCGGCACATATCGTTCTGGATTG